AGAGCAATTCTGGCTACATTTTTAGACATAATTCCACTGGGGGTTGATTTATTCGCCTCTTGCAGGAAACGTGAAAGAGGTCTCTTAGTCAGTGGGATGTCAATCGTGAACCTATTTTGGCAGAAAATGTAGCTGATTGATGATGTTAATGCTTCATGTAGTCAATTCCTTTACAAAATCTGTCCAGTTTTTTTCTTCCCCAGCTTCCTGTTTTTTTTCCTTTCTCATTCTCAGGATGCTTTAATATTTCTTTCAGATTTTTTTTTTTTGTAATGATGTGTCCAAATTTACTTTATGGCTGCAAACTGATGATGGCTTCCCTTGGGATTGAACTGAAGTATGGACAACTGGGAAGATGGAAGATTGTTGGAATAGTACCAAAAAATAACTGATCTCAAGCATCTCGCTTAGCTGCCTAACGTCATTTTCAGGATTCCTATGCCGATAAATATTTCACCAAAATACTCTTCTCCTTTGAGAAAAAGCATTTTTTCCTCATTATACCGAGAAGGATCAGAAATAGCACTTAAGAAATCTTTAGCACATAACCCTTGTGCTATTTCACTTTGACTTTTGTGGATCAGTTTTATCTTGAATGGTTTGGTGATGATCACACCATGTCTAGACCTTCTTGCTGATTGTTTTACAGACATCCTGACTGTGCAATCTTAATTCTTTTCACAATTATGGACATTATGGCCATTTCGCCCTGTGTCTCCTGTAGTCCAAGTCTAGTCTCTGTAGATTCCTTTGCTAGATGTTTATGGAGATTCTCAGTCATCCAGGTTACGATTGTCCCAAAGGTGCTTTTTCAGGAGGCAACTGGACTTCCTTGTTTTTCTTTGAAGACATTTCACTTCTCAACCAAGAAGCTTCTTTAGCTCTGACTAGATGGTGGGGAGTGGAAGGCTTGTCTTCAACAGTGAAGGGACACAGGGCAGGAAACATCCTGCAACCAAGAAAGCTCCACACACATTTGCACTACTCAGGTGACCCTGAGGACACCGTTAAATCTCCAAGTGGCTTCAACGACTCTCTAAAAGAATGCAAATAACCAGCAGTCTGCAAGGAATATAAACCCTTCCATTCCCCACCATCTAGTCAGAGCTGCAAAACATCGTCAGAGAAAAACAAGAAAGTTCAGTTGCCTCGTGAAAAAGCACCTTTGGGATTTCTTTGCTAGATTGCTGAGATTGATAGAGATCAAATATTGTCAGCCTTTCAAGAGAATCAAGTTGAAGAAACAGGAAGGGGCTAGGAATCTTGGCCTCTATTTTAGGCAGGCTCTTGTAACATGATTTGTAAGTCTATCAAAGCTTCTCCCTAGTGCAACCTATATCTAACTCAATCAAGGTGGAGTTGTTTTGAGTTTCTTTTTTCCCTATTTTCTAATTTCCCAGGGCTTAGAAGTATCTTTTCTTCCCAACATGTGTCTCAAGTCTTGCAGGATACAGCCTGGAGCTATTCCTTGTTGCTTTTGAACAAGAGGATATGGAAGCAATTTGTAATAAGAACATAACAATGCTGTCTTTGCTCCAGATTGTGAATTGACCTCTTTGGGACATGATGTCAATCCTGGATCCCAGCAGCAGTAAGAATGGGATGTGGCAAGGTTCCCCTATGTTCTGACTGATGGTGGGTAAGGGGGTGGTTGATTTAATCTGTTCCAGCTATGCCCGTCATGGCATGAAGCTTTCATATCTAGAACATGTAAAAAAATGTAGCTAATCTTCAGGTTTCCAGCTGGGGAAATGATTTTTGTTCCCCTTGAATGATCTTAGCTGAATTATTGGCATCACATTCAAGGAACACCAAAGAGCATCATTCTCAATGAGAGCCAAAAGTTTGACCCACATGACCTTGTTAATTGGTGGAAGAACAGTCTTTACTAAGAAAAGCTTTTTGAGCATTGAAAGTTAACTTGCCTTATTTCTTTTTTCTGGTACGGTGAAATTTTTATCCCTTGCTTAATTCTTTAACTATGTTCTCAGTTTCTTCTCATGACTTCATACTGCATTGCTCATGACTTTTCTCCTAGTATTCTTTACTAGGGAAGGTTTCCCCCCACCCCTTTGTCAGTTTGTCAAGCTTGTCAGAAACCCGTATTTATGAGCATTTTTTCACAGGGCCACCTAATCCCAACATTAATAGGTTGCCATTTAGTGTGCTTCATCCATAGCATTACTAGATCTAGATCTGAGAAGTTTTAAGAGCAGCTGTAAAGCATGAATTTTGCCCTAAGGAGACCTGGTGGCACAATGGTTAGAATGCGGTATTGCAGGCAAATTCTGCCCACAGCCTGGAGTTTGATTGTGATGGGGCTCAAGGTTAACTCAGCCTTCCATCCTTCCAAGGTCAGTAAAATGAGAACCCAGATTGTTGGGGGCAATACGCTGACTCTGTAAACTGCCCAGAGAGGGCTGTAAAGCACTATGGAGTGGTATATAATCTAAGTGCTACTGCTATAAGCAAGGAGACATATCAGTGTGTTGCCAACTTGATGTCCTCTGGATAGTGTTGGCATTACAACTCCTAGAATTCTTAGCTAGTTTAGTCTTTGGCTGAGGGTCAGGCAACTGTGATGCAAATGGGTTCAAAACAAAGCTGGGTTTGTTTCTGGATAATGGATGAAATTATTTTTGATTGCATTCACATTTGAGCGTTGGCGCTGAAAGCACTCTTGTTGACAATGATGCTATCCATTCAGTCATGTCCATTCCTGGGGATTCTAAGGACCAGCTCTCTCTACATTTTCCTATTTTGTACAGCTTCTTTCAGTTGTTCTATGTTCTGGCTGGTGTCAGTTTTGATAGAGTCTAGCCGCTGTGATTTTGACAGCCTCATTTTCTTTTACCACTGACCATTCCAAGCACAACTGCCTTTTCTAATTGATTGCATGACATGGCTGAAATAAAGAAGGTGGATTTTTTTTATTTTTGCCTTCCAGCAATATGCCTATTTTTATATGCTCCAGTTGACATGGAGCTAAATTAATGACGTATCTGTCTGTTCCATTATTCTCCCTTCTTAGAACTAATATATCATCTTTCAGGAATTGCTGCAGCTACAATGAGCGACCATCACTTTACATAGGCATACCTCCCTAGAGAGTAAGCTGTTTGAGGTACTGGGTATATTCCTGAGTCTCTTGGAAAGAAACTTGTTGTGAAAGGAAAGATAACTTCTCGTGAAATGATACTATTGCTTTATAATACCTTGCTAAGACCACTCTTGGAATACTGCATCCAGTTTTGGTCACCACAATATAAAAAAGATGTTGAGATTCTGGAAAAAGTGCAAAGAATAAGTGACAAAGATGATTAGGAGGCTGCAGGCTAAAACATATGAAGAACAGTTGCTGGAATTGGGCATGTCTAGTATAGAAAAAAGAAGGACTAGGGGGTGACATGATAGTAGTGTTCCAATACTTGAAGGGCTGCCACAAAGAAGAATGGGTCAACCTGCTCTTCAAAGCATCTGAAGTGGGAACAAGAAGCAATGGATGGAAACTAGTCTAGGAGAGAAGCAGCCTAGAACTAAGGAGGAATTTCCTGACAGGGAAAACAATCAACCAGTGGAACAGCTTGCCTCCAGAAGGTATGGTTGCTCCATCACTGGAGACTTTTAAGAAGGGACTGGACAACCATTTGTCTAAAATGCTATAAGGTCTCTGGCTTGACCAGGGGGTTGGAATAGAATAGAATAGAATAGAATAGAATGGAATGGAATAGAATAGATGCAAGGATCTTGGAGTTCTTCTAGTCCAACCCTCTGTTCAAGCGGGAGATCCTATACCATTTCAGACAGGTGGCTAGAAGTCTTCCAAGGTTCCTTCTAACTTTGTTGTTCTGTTATAAAGAACAAGGAGGGCATCCTAAACAGGCTGGGACAACATAGCTTGGCAATGATAGTTTATTTCCTGGCATGACTTCTCAATTCATCTATCTTAGTTCTGAATTCTGCCTTCAGCCCCTCAGCACTCATCTCTGGTTCTTGGTCATTGGCTGGTTCTTTGACAGCTGTCTATGACTAAGCTCTAATAATTCTCAACAAGACTTGGCTTACCCAGTAGATCTCAGCTGGATTTGGCTTGTGGACGGTACAGCTGAAGTACAAATATTCAAAATATGAGGGTGATCACATGACCATCTCATGGATAGTAAATCCACCCTTAAAAGCAACAAGAAGGAAGAAGGAACAGGGAAATAAGAAATAGAATGTGCTAGAACCAGCCTCCCATGGAAGATATGAAGCACATTAGGTAATTAGTCTGAACCTAGCTGTATTGTTTGGTGAACTAAAGAAATGGCCCACATTTTGAGTACCAAGCAGAAAGCATTCATCTCTTTTTCTACTTAGACTTTCAAATATGGGATGATGGTGACTTCCAGCTTCCTCTTATCACCTGGAGCTCTGTGCTGACAAATATCTAGAAGTCAGCCATGGTTAATTGCAGTTCTTCAGGGTAACAGTTCAGTAATTTGGTGCTTCTAAAGCTGAGCATAATCTGATGAGTTGGAAGTATCCCATAACTCAATGAATCAAACCCTTGTTCAGTTTAGATATCCAGAATAAAAGTTTCTCTGTGATTTTCAGCAACTACTTGAAGATCTCTAACAAAGGACAGCCTACCTATTTGTAGATGGGCTTCTTGTATTGATTGTAAGTTTCTCTTGGAGGCTTTTTGGATGAAAGGTCAGAAGATCACTGTGAATGAGCAAAGAAACAAAACCTATTTAAAATTAAGTTGCATTGCATTTAGCAAGCTTTATTCATAGATAGGTGTCTATAGGATTGAATCTGGAGATGTTCTTCATTAGTATTCCTGTTATCAGCTGCTTTGTAAATGAATAAAATAGATAGAACTGCTTTAAAAGTCTGCCTTTGAAGCTGAAATCAATCCAAGCAAATGATATTTGGGAAGCATTGTGTATATATAACATTTTAAATTATGAAAAACAAACTGTTGAGATTAAAGGATAGTTTCTTGTTCTTGGCAGGATTTGTGTGGTGCTACCACTTGTGACACCCTGGGAATGGCGGATGTCGGCACCATGTGTGATCCCAAACGCAGTTGCTCCGTCATTGAGGATGATGGTCTTCCTTCTGCTTTTACTACAGCTCACGAGCTAGGTAAGGAACGGCTTCCAAAAAGGAGAGAAAGATGAGAGAGAAGACTTAGAAGAACATCTAAAGCTGGTTGGGTGACTTTGGGCCAATCACTAGGAGCCTGTGATTTCTTAGTCCCACCTTAGGCATGAAAGATGGCTGGATGATTTTAGGCCAATCACCAGGAGAGTGTGAGTTCTAGTCCCACCTTAGGCATGAATGACGTCTGGGTGAGTTTGGGCTAATCTTCAGGAAACTGTATATTCTAATCCACCTTAAGTCTGAAAGCTGGATGGATGATTTTGAGCCAATCACTCTTTCACAGTCCAACCCTAATTACAGGGTTGTTATTGTGTGAAAAATAGGAGGAGGAAGGAGTATTAGGTATGTCCACCACCTTGCGTTATTTATAAAAAGAATAAAGGTGGGGTAAGAATAAATACTAAGAAAAAAAACCTGAAACTCCTGAAGATTCCAAAGACTAAAAAAATATATTCCTGTAGGGATCCTTCTTGTGGTCCTCCTACCTTTTCTTTCTGAGATACTGTCAAGCTATGAAGATTGCTTGCACTAGGACAGCCATGCCACTTCTAGCTTGCCAAGACTTCCGAGGAGGGAGGGGAATGTATGGAATGCACAGGTGGTTTCTATCTGCTGGGAAGCAAGGTCGCAAAAGAGATGTTATGTTTTTTCTCATAACAACAGTCTGAAGATTAATTGGACAATGTGACTTGAAGTGTCAGAGAGGGATGGGGAGGATTTACTCTTTTAACTATCTTTGTGGCGCCATATTGTCAGAGCTGGTTTACCATTCATTAGTGCCGGTATGCTGTGCTCAATAAAGTTTTGCATTAGAGATCGTGATGTCTCAGGTGTGCTTACTTCGTTGGGATCATCAGCCAGAACTTTGACAGATACCAGCCCTGTAACCCAACTCTAATTGTGGCATTTCAGTTGTATGACTTTTGTGGTGGTGGTCATCTATAGTTAGAAAAGGAAGAAATGGGAGATTAGGAATTGTGAGGGCACAGATCTCCAGAAGAGGGTTCCAAGTCAGCCAATTTAGCCTCTTAAATCCAGAAGCAGCCAATCATTTACAGCTTGTGCTTTGCATCTGCCTGGTTTTGCATGCTCTCCTTCCGATGTTTGGCAAGCCATTCTTGGCCAGAAGTTTCAATCCCTCAGCCAGTGACTTTGGAAGTGGTCACTTAACCAAGGCCACAGCTGAGAGGCAGAGCCCACACCATACTGTGGTTGACACCTGCCAAACAGATTTTGCCAAGGAAATGTGGATTGAATCCATTTTTAACAGAAGAATTCTCTCTCTAATTAGAGAAAGAAGCTTGACGTTTAAAATAAATCCCAGTACTGAATTCAGGAAGTCTTGATAATAGCAAAAGTTTAAGAATAGTTTTGTGGGAAACTCAGCCTTGTAAATGAATGTGTATATATGTTTGTGGAGGAAAAAGAGAGCAACAAGCCTGCAATTTTATTCCCTGTGCAACGACAAGGCTCAGTTGGAACTGCTGGAGAACAGCTGTTCGAAAGAGAAGGAATCCCAAGCGGAGGGCTCCTTGTTGCTGGCTGTTCTGTTCCCAGGCTTTAGAGATCCTGAAATAATATGTAATTGCTGGGATACGTTAGATACACACCTCGATCCAGAGCGCCAGAGTGTCTCCTGAAGTGACAACCAAATGGCTTGGTTCTCATTTAGAAAGCAGGAAGAGGATTTGGGGTTTAGAGGAGTAAATTATTCCGATTCAAAATAGCTCCTAAAATTAGAAATGGTTTCTGGCTGGGATAGGCTAGCTCAAGGCCCTTTGCTGCCTTTTGGTGGTTCCTTTCAGGGTTGGTGATCCATGCTGGATTAAATTCAGCTGCATTGTCATGTATCTCTTCACGTAGTCAACTGTCACAGTGAGTGACAGGTATCATGTAATGTCTGAATAAAGCCAACCAAAAATTGTGAAGACATTTTTGATTGTCCTCTCTCTAAACCAGGGGTGTCCAACCGTGGACCACAGACCAATCCCAGGAAACTGTGAGTTCTAGTCCCACCTTAGGCATGAAAGACAGCTGGATGACTTTGGGCCAATCACAGGAGACTTTGAGTTTTAGTTCCACTTTAGGCATGAAAGACAGCTGGATGACTTTGGGCCAATCATCAGGAGACTGTGAGTTCTAGTCCCACCTTAAGCATGAAAGACAGCTGGATGACATTGGGCCAATCACAGGACACTTTGAGTTCTAGTCTCACTTTAGGAATGAAACCAGGTTGGGTGAATTTGGTTCAGTCACTCACTTTTAGCCCATATTGTCAGGCTCAGAAAACAAGCCAATTGGTCAATTCCCATCATTTCCAATCCCCAATGGATCAACTCTCAGTTGATCTGAAAAAAGCAGACCCTGCACTTGCGGAAAAACACAAGAAAAAAAAAAAGGGTTCCAAAGGCAACTGGTCAGCTCAGTGAGGAGCAAAATGCTGGGTGAGATAATTTACCAGTTAATCTAGCAGGAAGGCATTTAATATTCTGAAATTACATTAAACAAATAGAGTTAATTTATTTCTGACCTAGTTTAACTAGATGTTCTTCCACTAGTTCCAGTATGTCTGTGATCAGCTTTCAGATGTTCCACCCAGAGTAGTTATGAGCTTGAATAAGGAATTCTCTTTTTCTCTTCTCCTCCCTTGTTTCTCATTTTTCCCCCTCAAGTCTTTTGAAACGACAAGTATCTGCATACATAGTAAATGGTGTGAGTCTTGGCAAAGAAAACTGCTGGCTTGCAGGTCTTGCTGGCAGCAATTGCACTCTGCATCTGTTGTAAATTTATTGGCCTTTGAGGGACAACCTGATTAGAACATGAGAAGGAAGATGTTTGTGGATCTAGGAAAGGGAATGTAGAGTACAACAGTTTTGCTGCAGGCCCTTGCAAAGCTGTGTGCAACAGAGGTCACTTCTTTCATGGATTAAGGAAGAAAAAGCAAAGAGGAGGTGGACGACACAAATTAAACCTTTGTAAAACCTCCAGACCATGCCAAGTCCAACAGCTTTGATATCTCGTATCCCTACTGTTGCCTGGACAGCAGAAAAGAATTTTTTTTAAAGCCCTTGATGACTCCTTCCAATATATATATATGAATGGGTTAAATCTGGCAAGTTGTTCATATTAAAAAATGGTTTAATCAATAACCAAATTAACCATGATTATAAACACAAGCACTGTTCTTGAATTAGAAGGACTCAAGTTCACTCTTTACCGCCTCCCGTTTTACATAAAGTAAGGTTTCAGTAAGAGGAAACAGTATGTTGGAAGGAGAAACTAACAGATACTTCTATTCATTACTAATTCTATCCCTCGGGAAGTACCAGAATGCTGGCTGCAATTTTCAAACCATAACTCTCTCTTTCTAGGACATGTGTTCAACATGCCCCATGACAACGTGAAGGCTTGTGAAGAAGTCTTTGGTAAACTGAAGACTAACCACATGATGTCCCCCACTCTCATCCAAATTGATCGTATTAACCCATGGTCACCTTGTAGCACGGCTATCATCACTGACTTCCTGGACAGCGGACATGGTGAGAAGGGGACAGGAGGTAGATCCATGAAAGAGAGATGGGGGTTACGGATTAGGGATGTTTGTCTAGAAACGGGCTGGAAGACACCTTTGTCACCAAAATTTAGGTGGAGAAGTCAGAAGAGTAGTGGCGAAATGATGTCCTTAAGAGAAAGGGAAGTGGTTCAATTGAAGTATTTGCTCCAGAAGCCAACTTTTCTCACCTTGATGAAAGCTTAAACTTTGGAATAGTAAATTCTTGTGGTTAGTCACTGCTGATTTTTGCATGTATATTATAATGATCTGAGCTGGTGGTCCTTCTTGGTGGCAATGAGTCTCAGCCAAAGTAATTGTGACAAAGGCTATCCTGTGGAGTTCACCTCTATTATTATTATTATTATTATTACTTTAATTTATACCCCGCCCTTCTCCCGAGGGACTCATAGTATGCTGACTTCATAAACGTGGTATTTCAAGACAAATCTTGGAGTTTACTTTTATGTAAAGCATCCAGCAAACTCAGTTAAACAAACAGAATTTATCTGTGGGATTCTGCATATCCTAAAGCCAAGACCCACAAAAACATGAGCAATCACTGTAGTCATGATATGATCTAGATATTATCCTTTCTTTATCAGTAATGGATCTTCTGTTGGAGTCCATTACTTTTCAAATTGGCTTCATGTCCTGTATTAAGCTGGGTTTTGTTTAACAATGATTTGTTGAATAAGCCACAATGGAGCTTTACAAAGCCATAAACTATGGATTATAGAACACAAGGCACTGTTAAGTCAAAAGTAGGCAAACCTCCTTAAAATCTAGTTGATTTAGACTCAATATTGTAATGCAAACACAATATTAGACCGTGACTTTATTAAAGCCAGGTTTGGAATTATTAAAGAATTTTCCTTTAATTTGAAAATTCATTTTGCTAATGAATGTCACTGAAATGTTATGATTTTTCTTTTAATTTAAAGAGAGAGAGAGAAAGAAAGAAATCTTTTTGGAGAAAGGGAAGCCAAACCTTTCACCAATTTTTTTGTTAGCGTCTCAGATAGGTTCTGCACATTCTTAACGTTTGCTCTTATGCTATCAAGATGTTTATTTGAATCTGCTCTTAGGAGTGTATAAAAACTGAGCCCTTAGAGAAGGTAAACCTGGAGGGTGTTGGAGATTCTTAAAACCAGCTGTCTAGAAAAATAGAATAATCACCCGATCAAGCTGTTTTGGCACACTCCTCTACTTTTACTAAACAATTTACACTCAGAAAGCTGTAAATCATTAGAAATGCTAAGGCTGAATCTAACTTGGAATACCCATTTTAGAAGGATCTGGAACTATATGGCAGCAGATCAACTGTACTCATCCTTGTTTGAAACTTTTTTTAAAAAAAAATGTGATTTATATCAGATTTCTGTACCAACCTCCAACCTAAATATCCAAATCAGTTCACAGTTTAAAAATGTAAATCCTGACCACTGAATTTTCACCTCTATCACCACTGTGATTAGTATTGGTAACAAAGCAAGAGAAATAATCCTGATGCTACAGAGCCATAGAGGTGCAGTGGGTTACAATACAGTATTGTAGGCTGACTCTGCCCACTGCCAGGAGTTCGATCCTGACCAGCTCAAGGTTGACTCAGCCTTCCATCCTTCCAAGGTCGGCAAAATGAAGACCCAGATTGTTGGGGGCAATATATGCTGACTCTTTAACCCGTTTAGAGAGGGCTGTAAAGCACTATGAAGTGGTATATAAGTGTACGTGCTATTGCTAGGGACGGTTCCTTTGGGATGATCTCCCATTGTAGCCCTCTGTCTTCTCCAGGTGATTGCCTTTTGGACCAACCCACCAAGCCGATCTCTTTGCCTCAAGAACTTCCCGGTTCCAGCTATAATCTCAACCAGCAGTGTGAGCTGGCCTTTGGCATTGGCTCCAAGCCTTGCCCGTACATGCAATACTGCACCAAGCTTTGGTGCACCGGAAAGGCTCGTGGCCACATCATGTGCCAGACCCGTCACTTCCCTTGGGCTGATGGCACCAGCTGTGGAGAAGGGAAGTTCTGCATGAAAGGTTCCTGTGTGGAGAGGCATAACATCAGTAAGTACCGGGTGAGTACTGATGGCTCTTTCCATGGAGAGCAGCCCAAAGGCTGATGTTCACAAAAGTTTAGTTCAGGCCACAGATGCACACGCAAACAAACAAACAAACAAACAAACAAACAGAAAAAGAGTATGCTAAGTAGGCAATCCAACATAATTCGATTCAGGCATGAATTATCCAGAATTGAGAGTTTTGGAAGCATCTAAATTAACCATTGTAGTCCACATGGATTTGGATAGTTGTACTCATAGTCTCCTGAATCATTGCTGATTTGCTTTGTTATGGTTTAGTTTAATCCACTTAAGAAAATCGCAGAGATCTGCACAAGCAGTTGATTTAATTGCTTGTTAGTTTCCACAATGAGTCAGCTCTTTTGAAACGCTAGGGATAAAAGCAATTCCTAATCTGCTGATTATTAAAAATGCTGAAAAAGCATTGTGCACGTACTTCATGGCACTAGCTAGCTAAAGTGTTGTATTCCTTGAGAAAAAATAGGGATGGCATCCTTGTGGGTTTCATATCTGCTCAATGTCTTATGGCCTGACAGGTGGATGGAAACTGGGGGAAGTGGGCACCTTATGGAACATGTTCACGGACATGTGGTGGAGGAGTCCAGCTGGCTAAACGTCAATGCAACAATCCGGCTCCAGCCAATGAAGGGAAGTACTGTGAAGGGGTTCGAGTTAAATATCGTTCCTGCAGTTTGGATCCCTGCTTTGCTTCAGGTGAGATTTAATGAAGGTGCCAACTGCAGCACCTGTCATGATGGCTGATCAATTCTTTTGGAGGGGATAACAGGACTAGACTAGGTTTTGGTCCAGTAGTTAAGGCATCAGACTAGAAACCAGGAGCTTGTGAGCTCTAGTTCCACCTTAGAAAAGAAAGCTACTGTGTGACTTTTAGCCAATCTTCAGGAGACAAGAGTTTTAGTCCCACCTTAAACATACAAGTTGATTGGGTGACTTTTGGCCAATCACCAAGAGCTGACTGGGTGACTTGGGCCAATTACCAGGAGATGGAGAGTTCTAGTCCCACCTTAGGAAAGAAAGCCACTGGGTGACTTTTAGCCAATCTTCAGGAGACAAGAATTTTAGTCTCACTGTAAGCATGAAAGTTGATTGGGTGACTTTTGGCCAATCACCAGGAGATGGTGAATTCTAGTCCCACCTTAGGAAAGAAAGCCAGCTGGGTGACTTTTAGCCAATTGCCAAGAGACTGTGAGTTCTAGTTCCACCTTAAGGCATGAAAACTGCTGGGTGACTTTGTGCCAGTTACTCCCTCTCAGCCCAACTCACCACACAGGGTTGTTGTTATGGGGAAAATAGGAGGAGGAAAGAGATATTAGGTTAGGTCAGGGGTAGGCAACCTTGGCTCTTTTATGACTCATGGAATTAGAAGTCCACGAGTCATAAAAGAGCCAAGGTTGCCTACCCCTGGGTTAGGTATTAGGCATGTTGTGGGTATTAGGCATTTGAGGATGCAGGAGGTACTAGGTATGATCACCGCCTTGAGTTATTTAGAAAAATAAAAGCAGGATAAAAATCTGGGCATTATGGGGAGAAAATGTTCAACTCTGTTGGATTTCCTTCTCTGCTCATGTTAAAATACAATATTTATAACTATGTGCAATGTTGTCTGAAGATTCACTAGATCAGTGATGGCGAACCTTTTAATAAAGACTGAGTACCCAAAAACTGCCATGCGCCCCACTCATCCCTGCTCCACTCCCACTCAGCCCCCATGCTCTGCCCCCCCCACTCCACTCCCCACTCCCGCCTGTCTACCCGGAGGGCCACCCACTGCCTCCACAGCCCGCTGCAGCGGATCACGCAGATGGCCCTGCAGTGCCATGGCGGCTATGACCTCTGCCTATGCCCCGCAGCATCATCTGCGTGCGACAGGGCACGAGGACAGAGTCTTGTCCCCGCTGCCCGGCTGCCATGTCCTTGGCTGCGTTGCTTTGTGCGGGCCGCACCTGGGGGAGACTCTCCTCTGGGGAGGATGCTGGTCAGCAGGGTGCCACGGGAGGAGACGGGGCTGGGGTGATGGCGTGCATTGCCCACAGAGAGGGCTCTGAGTGCCGCCTCTGGCACGCGTGCCATAGGTTCGCCACCACTGCACTAGATGTTCCCTCTATTTGTGATGGTAGGGATCAGCTCCTAAAATCATTTCTGAAACTGATTTTTCATAGTTCCAGGAAAGAGTTTTCGGGAAGAACAATGTGAGGCTTTCAATGGCTACAACCATAGCACGAACCGACTCACCGCCATTGTCTCCTGGGTCCCCAAATATTCTGGGGTGTCACCCCGGGATAAATGCAAGCTCATCTGTCGAGCCAATGGAACTGGCTACTTTTATGTCTTAGCCCCAAAGGTAAGTTGGTTTTTTTAAAATTCTTTTGTTGTTGTTGTTGTTGCTAAAGTTGGATGGCAGCACAGGACAAAGGCGATATGGCTGAAAAAAAGAAGGACTTGCACTGGATATTTTAAAATGAAAGGAATGTATTTAGGATGTTCAATTTAGAGAAAAAAGAGAAATTGTAAAGGGATGTTTGTTGAAGGGTGATTAATTAAAGGTATTTAGATTTTCTTGGAAACATATAAGTCCCATAATTATCTAAACAAAATGTTGACAGATGCCTGCAAACATACTCAGTGCTAATACAACACTTCTGTCCACAATTATTTGTGTAATGTTTGCAATCCCATGTTGCTTGCTTCTATGCACAAAGACCCTTGGTTTCTAATGGGAGCCATGGAGGACACTGTGACAAAAAAGTAGTCCTTGACTTACGACCATAAATGAGCCTGGAATTACAGTCATAAGTTGTTGCAGTTGTGACCAGACCTGATTTTTCCCCCCACATTTTTTTCAGTGTTTGTTAAGCAAACACTATGGCTGTTAAGTGAACACCATAGTTGTTAAGCAGCTCAATTTTCCAAAGTGGGTATATTTTGCTAGAAACTGGAAGTAAGCACTGGAAACTGGCAAAAAAGTTGCAAATTGCAACTTTCATGTGTCTGTAGGACATGGCAAATGGCTGTAAAGGTGATCCGTTTTCCAAGTGCCCATAATGTGATCATTTGACTCAGGGTGTTTGTGGCCATGAAAATAGGTTATAAGTAGCTTTTTTGGGGGGGAGAGGGATTCATCATAACTTTGAATGGTCATTAAGTCACTGGTTGTAAGTCAAGGACTACCTTGTTGCAGAACAGCTAGTATGCTACTCAGAATCATTTTGGTGGTTTTGAATCTTCATACCTGTTCGTATCCAGATAGTGCCCAGGATCTCAGTAATATTTTTTTTAAAAATCAAGATTCATGAACAGGTATTTGTCATACATAGCACTGTGGAACATTCAACCACACGACAGAAGTCCTAATGAAAAGTGGTGCAACCAGCTTCTATGAACAGAGCAAAGGATAACATTTTCTTTGCTAGGACCACGGGCAGGGATGGCAGATGATTACTTGTTTCCAAATCAAATGGATACAGGTCAACATTCCAGCCATCTCTAGATTTTACTAAAGCAGCACTGGGTGCTATTCTTATCCTTCTGATTTCCAGGTGGTGGATGGTACACCATGTTCTCCAGACTCTAGCTCGCTATGCGTCCAGGGAAAATGTATCAAAGCTGGGTGCGATGGGAAACTTGGTTCCAAAACGAAATTCGACAAGTGTGGCGTGTGTGGAGGAGACAACAAAAGCTGCAAGAAAGTTTCAGGCTTGTTCACCAAACCTATGTGAGTGAATTTGGGTAGAGTCACCCAAAGGCCAGCTTAAAAACTGAATGGATTTAGGTAGACCAATGACTTGATTCAGCACAAGGCAATATTTTGCTAGATCCATATCAGATGATTAACTGAATGACTGAATCAATCCTCTTCTTGGTCTTTCCAATATACTGAATCATAAATTAATGGGCTACGTTCATGCCATCCCTTTCTGAGAGAACAAATAGGACATTTGGGGAAAATGAGCACATTGTGTTTAGGGCAGAAACCTACTCTGTTAACAGTCTAAAAAAATCCCCAATACTGTCCACAGTGCTGGAACTTACAGGAGCTGTAGCTCAAAATCCATTCTGCATGTTTAATTCTATTAAATCAGCTGAAATTTGTGGTCCCGTATAGGGACACTGCATGAATTCACCTGCTCTGCATCGTTGTCTTACCTTTGCAACCCTTGTTTCTAGCCAACCCAAGTCAGGCATCTCTTAGGTGACTTTGCTAACTCATATTAATGTTTTGCCTTTCTTCTACCTTTTGTCTTTCTTCCAGGCATGGCTACAACTTTGTGGTGCTCCTCCCAGCTGGTGCTTCCAGCATTGACATCCGTCAGAGAGGCTACAAGGGTCTGATTAGTGATGACAATTACTTGGCCCTGAAGAATGGGCATGGCAAATATCTTCTGAATGGACATTTCATTGTCTCCCCGGTGGAAAAGGACTTAATAGTCAAGGGCAGCGTGATTCGCTATAGTGGAACAGGTACAGCAGTGGAAAGCCTCCAAGCCTTTATGCCCATCCAGGAACCCCTGACAGTGGAAGTGCTATCAGTTGGGAAGATGACACCACCTCGAGTACGCTACTCCTTCTACTTGCCCAAAGAAAGCAAAGAGGACAAGTCTTCCTACCACCGTAAAGATGGGAAGCGTCCTCCAGTCCTCAACAACAGTATTCTCAGCCTGTCCAACCGCCTGGAGCTGGGTCAGCTGGATTACAAACGCCCCGCTTACAAATGGGCCACCACCAACTGGGAAGACTGTTCAGTCACTTGTGGCAACGGTCTGCAGAAACGCATGGTGCTGTGTCGTGACGCCCTTGGCCAGTTGGCCTCCTCTTGTGACGCCACTCAGAGGCCTATTGATATCAGGATATGTGGAGATCCTTGCCCAACATGGGAGGCATCACCGTGGTCCTCGTGCTCCAAAACTTGTGGCAGGGGGTTTAAAAGGCGCATACTGAGATGCACAGGACGAGGTGGCATACTGCTGCCCCGTGAACGCTGCAACCTCAGGAAGAAACCACAGGAGTTAGACTTTTGCACCCTGAGACCTTGCTGACCCGGCTGTCTCCACAATTGACCAAAGCCAAATGTGCTACTTTCTGAACAAGTGGCTGAAAGTGTAAACATAGCCTCTGGGGGGAGGGAATGGGATCCAACTGAATCAAAGGGGGTCTGGTCCATAGTGCATTTTGACCAAGAACATTCTAAGAGAAGAGAAGAATACCAATAAGAAGGGGGCTTGATAGAGGTTTTGACCATCCAGTCACTTAGTAGTAAAGCAGAAGTAAACAACTACCTCGAAGTTGCCCAAACCTCCTAGAAGTTATCACAATTCAGCCATGCATTCTGAGGCCCTGAAGGAGGAGGCAAGGCCAGAACTGAAAGGCAGCACTATCTTGAAATGGACCAAAGACAAGAAAGATGATTCCTTAGAGCCCTGGCTCTAAATCCCTTCAAAAATAAAAATAAAACTTAAAAGGGACTCTTAGGACTACCCACCTCCTTCAACTCCTAGAGTTATAGTGGACCATAAGGAAGCACCATTGAACCTGGAACAAAAGTATTTGTAAGACGTACCCCCAAGAAAATGACATCCTAGCTCTGATGGAATTGCAGGTCTCTAGATACACTTGGGGTTTTGTGCAGGACTAATAACCAGCCACTGATTGGTAGCTATCAATTAACATTTATGAGCAATATACATTTAACGGTGCTGGACCAAATTGCCTCTGAAGTGTTGGCTTTGCCCACTTCTCATGATTCATTCCAAGAGATCTACTACGTTGGCTAAGGTGGAGCTGCATCTTATTTTCCTGTTCCTTAGTGAACAGGAATTCATCTTTCTTCCTTTTCTTCTTGCTTTTGTTATTTAAGCCCACATGTCTCTTCCAATGTCACTGTTTTGTGTCTCCAATCCATAATAAGTTTGCAAGATACCTGTGAACACCTGAACTTTTGTTCATCTGCAGTGTTTTGGATTTAGGCCAGGCTAGCTTTATTCTGTGCATGAAAAAGTGAAAAGCTGTTGAGCGTCATGCTCCCAGGATGATTTTTCTGGACTATTTGAACATGAAGAGAAAGTGAGGGAGAAAATATAGTTGTAAGTAATGCTCAACTAATCAAGGAGAGAACTAACCTAAAACTAAGGAGAAATTTCCTGACAGAACAATTAATCGGTGGAATGACTGGCCTCCAGAAGTTGTGGATGATCCAATACTGGAGGTTTTTAAGAAAAGATTGGACAACCATTTGTCTGAAATGGTATAGGGCTTCCTGCATGAGCAGGGGGTTAGACTAGAAGACCTCCAAGGTCCCTTTCAACTCTGTTATTCTGTTAGATTGAACAACAATCTTATCTGTAATACAGAGGCATCCTCTGCTGTCCTGCACTGAAAACTTATTATGGTGATATTGCACCTTAATGTTTTCTATATAAATTCTATAAATTAAAATTGAATTATTGAAATAGCTGTTGTTTTACTACCTGAAAGATGGGGGTATGTAAAAAAATATAGTCCCCATCTCATGAAATGCAGAATATTCCTGCATATTATAGATACCCTAAAGAGTAGTATTTGGTCCGTATCTTCCCATAAGATAGACCAGGTGGGAATGCAGTCCTAAAGTTCATCCTAGGGCAAAGCAGGATAGGACAAATGATATGTGAAGGCAGATGCTATCCAGAGTCAAGGTTCTTGATTTTGTAATATTAGGGTTTGTTGGTTTGGGATGCAGTCTCTACATCTTTCTTTGGGGATGCTGGACAATAAATATTCTTAGGCAGCTGCTGGAATTTCTTTTGGCAATTATTGTAAAAGCCTTTGGCAGTCTAAGAACAAATTAACAGGCAAACAACATGCCATTCTTGCTGTCTGCAGGTGAAGCAGCTGTTGACAATGCTCTGGAAGACAGTCCAATTTCCATAATATTGTGTGAAAGAGAACAGAAGTGTCTATGTTTTTGTGTCAGTGATCGTTCTTTTACAGGTGCTGTTCATGCCTTCCAAGAGGGTTTAAATTCTGGGGTAAAATGCACAGGAGATTTGAGCTGCAGATGCCCTATGAAACCTGCAGGAGAAACTCACCATAATGGAGTATCAGATAGTATTAACAAGTCCTAGGAGGGTAGAACTTTGGCTTTAGGGAGTTTTCATTTCACCAGTTAATCAAAGCAGATCCTTCATCTCTTAATGTTTGGGTCCTGGATTTATTTCAACTGAAGCCTGATTCTTGATGGCTACCACCCATCACTGCTTGTTTTTCCACTTCCTTTGGCTGCAGAAGTTGGGTCTGATATCTGTTGATTCTATAATAGTAATGAGCATCCCTTGCCCCCAAAATGTACACTTTGAAGTCTGGAGTAGAAATAAAAGCAAAAACCTTCTTTGGGCTCAAATGTGTATCTTGGTGAGAGACAAGTTATCCTAGAGCAGCGATGGCAAAGCTTTTAGAGATCGAGTGCCCCAAAACTGCCCCTGCCCCCACCCTGCCTGGACCCCGCCCCACCCGCAGGGCCACCCACTGCCTCCATGGCCCACCACAGATCATCCAGGTAGCCCAGCAGTGCCATGGCAGCCATGCCCTCTGCCCATGCCCTGCAGCATCAACTGCGTGGGCAGAGTCTTGTCCCCGCTGCTTGGCTGCCATGTCCATGGTTGCATTGCTCCACATGGGCCACGCTTGGGGGCAACTCTCTTCTGGGGGGGCTGCTGGTGAGGAGGGGGCCAAGAGGGGAGGTGGGGCTGGGGCAACAGCACGTGTGCCCACAGAGAGGGTTCTGAGTGCTGCCTCTGGTACGCATGCCGTAGGCTCGCCACCACTGTTCTAGAGTTTCTAGGTCTTTAAATTCACTCCTCCTCCTCCAGATGTTTCATGCCTTCTCCAAAAATAAGCATGGGCTTCTTTTCAGCTGCATGTAGCAAAGAGAGGAATTAGGGTTTTTGAAATGGTGCTTCAGATATGAGTTACTTTGTTCTATTTTTGAATAGGATTTCTATTTACAAAAAAATAGGACCATTCCTCTCTCTCTCTCTCTCCTCCAAGAATGTTTACAAGTTTTTTAAGAGTTTTTTTTTTATATTCACAAAACCATTAGCAAAGATAACTGGGGCTTATGTTCTACAAGGCCATATCCAAGCCTGTTGAAATGGCTCCATAGAAACCAATAGATTTTTTTTTACAGAGCAGAATTAAACCTCTTATGGGTGGGCTTTTCCTGACCTTGAAATGGTAGGAAGAAGAATTATGAAGATTCATTGGTCAACAAGGTAGTGTGTAGAATGGTAAATTTCTGGACTGGACATAATTGTTTTTGTTGTCCTTCTTCTTTAGTGGTACTGTAATTCCAAGGTGCTTGACTGCTGTTATTTCTAGACCTTTGTATAGAATTTAGGTAATAAAGTTCTGAAGGATTCTAAAATCAATCTGTTGAGTCCAAAACCAGAAGTTTCTCATGCTTCCTACACACACTTTTATGTGAAAATGTTCATATTGAAAATAACCCTGTTACATTTAAGAAGTTTATCAATTTAATTATCATTTTCAGAGTGAATTCAGCTACTTTTTTAAAAAAGTTAACTATCTGATTTTACTCCAAAAAAGGGCTGTGGCATGTACTTGAGCAAGATTGTTATTGGTGCAGACTTGAGTTCATTGCTCTTGTTTTTTTCCGCCAGTTTCTTTTGACAGCTAACCCGGAATAATAAAAAAATAATATATGTGTTTTGGTATGGATATGTCCTTGAGAATGTTAATAATTCCAGTGTGTCTCTAGAGATGAGAAATTCTCAGAAAATAGTATCTTTTGGAAATGTCGCTAAATAGGAAAGTTAGCTTGTGTAATAGGTTGGCTTTAGAACCCGTTTTGGAGCTTTTTTGATTTAGATGTCACTTGTCAAGTTTGCAGCTGGTCTTGGTCACCATTACTTGGTTTTTCATTGGCTCATGGGGAATAATCAATCATGGTCTGTCTCTATGTGTCATGCTGGTTATGACACATTTCCACGTTCAAAGGAAGCATGAGTCACTGAATATTTATGGGAACATGAGGCTGTTCAACCAGTTGGGTGGTGGACTTGTTCCAGCATGGCTGTTCTGAGGCTCAGATGCTAAAGAACAACGTCAATGATGCTAAGGCCAAACTAATCTTCCAGAGAGATGCAGTGGCTCCTGCCAGCTCATAAAAATTCATACTTATTGTCAGGTCAGTTTCTGGTTCTGATTACACCACAAGCTTTTGTCCATTTTAATTTTTATTATCCTGCCAAAGCTTTCTCTAAACAATTCCGGAGTCGGTAGGGTAAAGAGACATTATGAAACCCATCACTCCCATTATTTAGAGAAAGGGAATGACTAAATCCATTTAATTCTATGGTGTACAATATCTACGTCTCTAAGGAAAGCAAATGACAGACAGTGGAAGGCGACCGTCTTCCTCCTATAAATATGGTGTGCGTATCTGTGTTTGTGTGTATGTGAACTCTTTTAAGAATCCTAGGAATTGTAGTTTGGCAAAGATAACGGGAAATGTCAGTAAGAAGTTACAGTTCTCGATACAAACAGCTACATTTCCTTGGGGAGAAAAAACAGCTGTTCAACTAATTTAGGTTTCTTCTGTCCATCAACTCAACTGTTTTGTCTTTCCTTGTCCCAAAAGCTTTGCAGATGTGTGCATATCTGGGGGGGAGGTTCAAATGGTTAATGATTTCTGCACACACATACCCTGCTTAGTATACACCTGAATTATGATGTAATTATTGTTTGCAGAGTGATCTCGTTTCTTTCTTTAAATTGATAAATGTGTCAATGTCAAAAATGTGCCCTTGTTACTCATCTAGCAAAAATGTAGGTATCTATTTTCCTGGGTTAAGATGAGTTGTTGTTACATTCCATTGTCTATGGTAATTCTCAGTCATCCAGGTCATGGTTGTCCCAAAGGTGCTTTTTTTAAAAGGCAACTGGACTTTGTTTTTTCCTTGAAGACGTTTTGCTTCTCATCCAGTGATGGGATTCAAATACCTGAACATCCGGTTGTCTGCGTGGATGCAGGCCTGGGCCTCTGAGGCCTAGAATGGACTTCCAGAAGTGACATCCATGCACTTTCTGTGGGCTGTTCTAGGCCTGGGAGGCCTCCACCAGGCCGCTGAGACCTAGAACAGACTTCCAGAAGTGACATCCACACACTTCCGGTGGGCCGTTTTAGTCCTGGGAGACCTCCTCCAGGCCTCCAAAGCCTAGAATGGACTTCCAGAAGCAGCATGGGTTCAGCCAGTTCTCCAAACTCAACAAAATTTAGCTACCAGTTCTACTGAACCAGTGCAAACTGGCTGAATCCCACCACTGTTCTCATCCAAGAAGCTTCTTCAATTCTGACTTGAACTGAAGAAGCTGCTTGGATGAGCAGTAAAACGTCCTGAAGGAAAAAAACAAAGTCCAGTTGCCTTTTGAAAAAAGAACCTTTGGGACATTCCATTCCATTGAATTCTGAAATTTGGAATCTGGGATTGAAGAGTCTTAGACCTGCCAAAAGAGTTTCAGAATATCTTAAATATAAACATAGGAGAGAATATCCTATAATACATCTGTAATGCAAATACAGATTAAACACTCAAGTGGAATGTTGATTCCCTGAGAACGAATGTGATTGGATGTTTTTAAATATTTCTCCTACCCCCTTATTCATGGATTGGCCTATCGTGTTTCTCTGAGGCTTGCCTTAAACTTTTCACTTCCACAACAGTTGAGTCTTGTAAACTATACAGCACTAAAGTCCTTTTTTTTTTTTGGGTTCTGGTGATATTGGGGAGAGAAGGGCTTTTAATTGTATGTGGGTTTTTAAATAGTTCTTTTGCCAAATATACAGCAAAAGGATGGAAATGCCTATGGTACTGGGTGCTTGGTGTATACCATGTATACTATATCTCAGTTTTCTGCTATTTGTGTGTCAGTGGCAAACCTGAAATAAAAATGGTTAAATATTTAAAGAGTTTTGTCTTTTGTGATATGATTTGGGTCCTGATTTCAACAATCCTATCAGCATTATGTTGTAATATGACCTTATTATTTAATTTATGAAAGTTATTTTCAGTCTACTGGAGGAAGGATGGAACCAGAAGGAATTGGGTAATCCATTTTTTTTAACTAATACATTTTATTAAAAGGCATAAAGTTGCAACTCGACTCCAGGAAATTGTGAGTTCTAGTCCTGCTTTAGGCACAAAACCAGCTGGGTGATCTTGGGCCAGTCACTTCCTCTCTGTCTCAGGAAGAAGGTAATGTCAAACTACTTCTGAAAAACCTTGCCCAAAAAAACCATCAGGAAATAGTCCAGCCAGTTGCCAGAAGTCAAAATTGACTTGAAAGGCCCCTCTTGATCACCAGATCTGGTGGATCTACCTTGCTCTGTGAGCCCAAAGTGTAGACTGCCATGTGATGTCTCACAAGCCCTTCCATTCATTCATTGGACTGCCAATGGTCCAATGAGAATGCTACAAAAATATTTCCTTCTTTTGATGATAAATATTTAATTTTTATGATCATCTTTAAAAATGTTGGAAGGATGTCATGGACATATAATGGCTAGAATCCTTCCTTCCTTCCTTCCTTCCTTCCTTCCTTCCTTCCTTCCTTCCTTCCTTCCTTCCTTCCTTCCTTCCTCCCTCCCTCCCTCCCTCCCTCCCTCCCTCCTTCCCTTTTTATTTTAGAATAGAATAGAGCTGGAAGAGACCTTGGAGGTCTTCTCATCCAGCCCCCTGCTCAAGCAGGAGAACCTATACCATCTCAGACAAGTGACTGTCTAGTCATTTTCTAAGAATGCTTACAAAATCTGGGGTCCAGAAGCAGTCTTGAGAATAAAGATAATTTCACAGATTTGTGCTTCCTATTTCTTTTTAAAAAAATACAAATACATAAAGGTTTCCATGTCCAGTTGTGGGAGCCAGTGTTGTCCAAAGACATTCTCTATGGTCATGTGGCCATCATAACTACATGCCAAAGATACACAAGAATGCTATTCCCACCAAATTGGTACCTATTAATCTACTCGCATTTGCATGCTTTCAAACTACTGGATGAGCATATAAATATACATATACACATACATGCATACACAATATAAACACACACACACACACACACACACACACACACATGAAATAGTTGATTCAAGAGCTTAATGGCATTGAGAAAAGGTCTGAGAGCACACAGATAGCTGGCAACGCTTTGGGATGAACTCATTAATTAAAAGTCTTTCCAGGCGGATCTTGCAGGAAAATGACACCATTAAATATCAGTACAGAAGAACAGCAACCACAGCAGAATCCAACTCCTCCACCTGCTGCGTTGTATTGGAGGCATTGCAAAGTGAATCAATCCAGATTCCTTCCATTTTTCCCCAGGATGCCTTGTGTGACTTCATCCGTTCATTGGAAGTCCTTATCAGGGCCCACCTCGAATCTAAATGTGTAGCCTACTCTTGTGGCTTTTTCTTTTTCTTTTGTTCAATTGTCTCAAATGTGTCTCTAGTGAGAGGGCTGTTGAAAGAAAAATAAAAGTTGTGCCAGGACATATCGTTCTCCTGACTGATTAAAAAAAAAAAGAAAGAAAAAAGAGGTTATCATTCTGATTTTTTTTCCCTGCCAACTTTGTCAGCCTCTAAATTTGGCCAGAAAATCCACATTCATGTAAAGGTGGTATTGCCGAAGTGATGCGAACTGGCTGAATCCCACCACTGATAACAGCCCTCTCTACCAAACTCCCCAAGGCCAGACCCAAAAAGCAATGGAGGGATTTGAATTCTACCAAAAATAACCCGTTCCTCTTGATGCCCCATTTTATTGTGACAACTGATTTGATGAAAAACACATGGCCCAAACTTTGCGCCAAGTGTTACAAAGAAGGATGCAATGTCATAGCAAAAGGATGTATGGTGCAGACGTAAACGGTTCCAGCCTGAAACCTGGCATTGTCTATTAAAAGATGACAAGGCTGAGAAGAATTCTGGAGACGAATATTCATCTGGTCAGACGTTTGTGGAGTAGTAGACAACTTGAATCTTAACGTAATGTAAGTAAAATTATCAGTTCTGGGCTGCAAATCTCAGATCAGTCACTAGAGGGCAACAGAGTCAAGTTGTTGGGGCCTCTTTGCTGCCATCTAGTAGTCACCTAGAGTTTTGCAGTGGACCAAGAAGATTGTGATAACTTCTGAGTATATAGATAACAGCAAAGGCTTTGATCTGTCCTTGAAACAATTTTGGAAAGCCATGACATATTCCCCACAAATACAGATGATGTTACATAGTTGGGTAGTGAAACATCTGCAAGAAAACAACCAAGCTCAGAGAGCACTAAGGACCCCATAAATGCTGTCAAACTCAAAACTGATAGCATCTGTGTCATCGCTCTGAACAATGGTACCATTTGGTCTATCAGGCTGACCAAACTTTGAGGTTTTTGCAGCCTACAGAGTCCTCTGATTCAGTGCTATATACATTTTTATTTTTTCATCTTTAGATGGCCCATCCTGCTCTTCTTCTCCTTCGAGGAATAAAAGATGCGGGCTTTGCTTGGGCTTTGCAGCACACCCAATTCCTTGTGGGCCAAAGCAAAAACAGAATAATTACCAATGTCACCCGTTAATAAGGAGAGGCTCTCAAAAGAATGGAGAGACGTACAGGCAGAGGGGGCTGGGTAGAAGACCGCATGGAAGGCAAGGGAATCCAGTGGATGGGGAAAAGGAAGGGGAACAATGGGAGGTGGAATACCACACATGTGGGTGGTCTCAGAGTTGCTGAGTATGAGAGGGGTATAGCGAAAGGAAGAGTGATTTTTCTGGGATGACTGTTTTGTAAGAACAGCTGACTGGCTGTTTTGCAGTTGGTTAAAAAGAAAGTAGTTAGGCTTAAGGGTAAAATGCTCTGATTGTCTCCTTTATGAGTACGTGTACAATAACTCTAAGTTCCAAAACATGTTTTTACTATTGGTTAAACCCTTGCTAATTTCCTTAAGCATCGGCACTGGGCAGACACAAGATGGTCTGGCATTCATTGTGGGTTACTTGGAAAATAATGAAAGCTGGGCATTTTTTCCTCCATCCCCACCCTAATTCCGTCCTGCATTTTTCCCATGCCTGTTTGTTAATTGGTGTTTTCTGATGTTCTGGTATTGCCTGTTGATTTCTTCCTGGGCTTACAGGTACTGTTAGATGGGCAAGGGGAGCCCATGTAAAGGAGACCCCTACTGCCTACTTTGACTGGGATGGGTTAATTATGGCCCTACCTGGACCTGGAAGCCCTCCCAATTGTAATTCATGGTGTTATATCCTCCCATTTGGACCACCACAACACATTCTATAGAAAAATCTCCTAGAAACTTCATTTCATCCAGAATGTGCAAGTAATGGCTGGCATGAAGAACCGTGATGGCGCAGTGGTTAGAACACAATATTGGAGGCTAACTCACTGCTCACTGCCAGGAGTTCGATCCTGACCAGCTCAAGGTTGACTCAGCCTTCTATCCTTCCGAAGTTGGTAAAATGAGGACTCAGATTATTGGGGGGCAAGATGCTGACTCTGTAAACCGCTCAGAGAAGGCAATAAAGCACTGTAAAGTGATATATAAATCTTATTGCTGTAATAAATGGTCATAAGTCAAGGACTACCTATAATATTTTTTTAAAAAAGGTGATTCTGTTTTATTTCTTTTTATCCTAATATTTTCTTTAACGCATTGATCAACGTCGTAAATTCCCAACCGTTTCCAATTGTGGCGGGGATAAGTCTAATAAATAAATAGACACACTGGAGCAAATCTATGTGTAGTCGTATCAAAGCCCAACCGCCTGCGCTGCCTCCCTGCACCATGTTTTTCTTTCCTGCCTTAAGAAAAGCTCAAGAGAAATCTTTTGTCTGGATGCAACACCAAGGCAGATGAAGGAAAGCTCTGTGGATCGGAGATTAGACGCCTGCACACTTTTTGGTCTTAGATCTTTTCCTGGGCATTACACACACAGATTTTTGCATCCTCCCCCCCATTTTTTCCTCTCATGCATTCCTCCAGGGGTGTTCATCTGCAATGAGAAAAATGTGGCATTGGAATTCATTCCTACTAAGGATAATATATAGGCCCAGAAGCCCGGAGTGAAAAATTTAACTGTCAGTTGGCTTAAAATCAAAAGAGAATCAAAACTTGTGGGTTTTTTTTTAAAGCTCCTGATCATACACAACCCTCCTTCCTAATTGTTCCATCTCCTTTTTTCTTGTCCTCTTTTTATCCCTGCTTTCATTTCTCTGGCCTCTATTTCCTTGTAGCCTTCTCAGGCAAAGGCTATATCTGTTCCAGTTTCTGAGGTTATTCGGTCCAAGAATGCATTGTTCAAAACGGAGATTTACCAGGAATAGCACTGAAGACGTTTCGTAAACAGATGTGACTCAGTTGTGTGCAGTTTTGGAAACTAGAACGCTTTCAGTCTTCCTGTGAAACAAGGAGATAATGACTTGGCTTGTAAGAAAGACCATTTTTGGCAGCTATTGTTAAGCAGGTTAAATTGACCCCAAACAGCCATTTCCTGTGATTTCAACCTCTTTCGTGCCACCCTGATGTTTAACTGCTATAATTATGCATGTGTTTTAATCAGTTATTGCTTCTCGGTTGTGTTAGTTATTTTTCCCCATCTTAATTGACATTTCCAGAGAGACAAGTTATTTGATGGATCATCTGGGGAAGTCATCATTCTAGGTTGAATCTAGTTCATTGGCCATTTATGACAGAAGCTGAGAGCCAATGGTTTTCAGGTCAAAGACCTTGGTTATGTCAACAGCAAGCAACTGTTTGGCTTCACAAGTGCAGACAATGAAGCAAAGAATCATTACCAGGAGTGTAAGAGGAAAATGAACCTTCATATTAGCTGAATGCAATCAATTGTTCATAACAGTTTGCTTCTGGTTTCCAGTCAGGTTTGCCGTTCAGCCATACCAGGCCAAGTG